AGAAATGAGAAAAGTTTCATTAAGAAGTCTTGTAAACCAATTTCAAACAAATTAAAGCAGATACGATTGTAGAAGTAAGTTATTACCTCGCGTTGTTGAACTTTATTTTTCAAAGTTTAAATTTACAAAACATAAAAGACGAACAAAATTGGCTTTATAAATAAAAATTCTGTTTGAAATGGACAACCCATTTTATTCTGTTGTAACATAATTATTATTTATAATCTCTTGTCATCCGTTTGTTCAAAATTTTAAATCGAATTTGAAGAATTTAGGAGAAGTTTTGTTGATCTAGCCACCCATACAAATAAATGGAATACTGATTCCAAAAGTGATACACTGTTTTCTATCCAATCGTCTTCATTCTTGAAAACTAGAATATTCATATCAGAAAATAATCTTATCTGGGACTTCTTCTGTCAATCTTTACATCTATTTATACTTCTAATGCGTTTTTAACTAACTCCACATCTCAAAGGGTGTCCTACCATTTGATCTCTTCTTTTCCTTGTAGACCTCCGTAGTTTCCTTTATATTTATCTACTTTCTTCAATATATACCTACTTATATACCTATATATATATATTTTTATCATCCTTTTAACAATGTTTTTGAAATTTACAAATTATCTGTTCGCTAGTCTAATAGATGTTGATAAGAGATCGTAATTGATCATAGTAAAGTTTTCAAGATAATTTAGCAGTCGTCCTCTGAAGTCGCATGAAACATTTACTACAGATTCCTCTAAGAGTACATTTTTTACTTGACTAGCGATTCAATTCTGTTTAGTTTTCTAGAAGAATCCAAAGGGTATAATAATCGCCATGTGTTTATTATTTAATTAACAGGAACATATTAAGACTGATTATAATTTTTTAAAGATTAAATCAATAATCTTCTTCATTCTATGTGATATTGGGTCTAAACACTGTTTAACTGGTTCGTAATCCCACATTTAATCGAAGATTATCAGTTTTTTCGTAATGAATGATATGGAATTTATAATCTTAAATGAAATTTTAATCCAAGAACATTGAGCACAAGGGGTCAAAACTTTGAAAAGAACCCTTGTTCTTAACCTGATATTTCTGTAGAAATGTACCTAATATAAGTATATTTTGACTTCTTAATAATCATATTTAAACCTACAATTCTAAATGGTTACCTACATGATTGGCACATTACTATTGAGATCTCACAAAAATATCAGTTGGATCAGAATTTTGTAAATGGTATAAAATTTTAATGTATTTCTTATAACATTTAGTTGTTTTTGTTTATTTTCTGCAACAACTTTACATCAATTTTATTATATTAGTTTAATTTTTTAACTTAAATTTGTTACGGATTAGGTACCTGCTCGTTCAGATATCTTGTCGGCGTTTGAGTAATTAGATAATTTATGTATAGGCGTAAACTTAGTTTGGAAAATGGCTGCTAAACCAATTAGCGGTGATGCATTTTGAGCGACTTTTAGATGCGAAAATCCTGGCAAATTTCGTTCGAATTACTTGAGATTTATACCTACCATCGCGTTGACGATTAATCCTGTTAACCGGTGACGTTCACGTTTACACACGTTCTCTCTATTTGCTCTTCGTTTTACTTCAGGCAGAAATTCGAAAATTTAATTAATAGATTTCTACTGTCCACCTCCTAGTTTATATTAACAGTATCTATCTTTTAAAGGGGTGACATTATACCATCTAAAAATGAACCAGTGGATTTTCATTAATTTTCAATTAAAAAATTATTTCCGGTAAATGTCAAACAATGATGCTTTCTTACCATTAAGGTCATGCTCATTTCACAGTGATATTGGGATTCGTCAAATGGGAGGAGCCTAAAAACATGGCGCCGATTAGAGAAAATTTATCGTAGTTCCTTTAGTATACCGTGCAATTTCCAAGTTTTTAAATTACGATAAAATGATAAGTATTGACACAATATGTGATTGGGCTGACACAAAGCCTCGGAAAGGAAATTTCGTTGAAGGTGAGCGTGTTTTTAATGCCAATCACATTATAAAATTCGGAAATAACAAATCCGGAAGCTAGCCTTCAAATTCCGTCAAGTTTACTGCCTACTTTTTACAAACTTCGGATTTAAAAAGTGATTCACGTTATATAATTGGTGAGGTGATTCTGGGTGATTTAAGCAATATCATATCAATGACTTGCACGTGCAAAGCCGATTTAAGAGAACGTTGCAAACACATTATTGCAACTTTGTTGTATTGCAGCAGGTAGGTTCTTAACCTCAAAATACTTATATCGTATCATTAGAATTGTGTTAAATCAATTACACAGGAATAAATAATTTCTCACTTTATAATTTTAGTATGATTCTAGTTTTAAATATTAAGGTTATGGCTGATGGTAAATACTTGCTGAAATATAATCATGTGCATTAAAATGACGTGAACAAATTTTTATTCCGGAATTCACTTCTTTGATACCTACTGCTTTCATCCAAGCTTCTATTAGTTTACTTTTTTCTCTAATTTTCCGAATATATTTTTTACATATATAAAACGGTTAGTTTTTATTGGAAAGTAGTTAATGTAGGTGAAGAGTGAAGATCTATGTCTGAAGTGCTATTGCAGCTTTTCACTGAACATATTAACTTTTTATTTGATTTAACTTTAGAAGAAAACTTCGTCGACTCCATCATCAAAAAAATTTTTACTTTTTTAACGTGTTTTACTATTTTAATAAACAATTATACAATTTGCGTGCACAGTTCCTATGTAAATTTTTCCCTCATTCCAGTTAAAAAATTTTTCCACCAGATGGTGTATGCCCATTTGACGGATCCCAATAGTCTGTTCACTACTTTTTATGTTAAATACCAATAATTTATTGTACTTAAATAATAACTGATTGTATCATTCAAATAGCGACGGAATTTATTTTGTGTTAGGGAGTCTTGTCGTATTAAAGACGCTCAAATTACATTCCTCCCACCTCCGATGCAATATCATCGGCCGAATGGATCAATGATCTGCCTTTGCTCTTTACTCATCGTGACGGTGGGTGACTGCGAATAGACTGACGTCAATTGAACGGTAATAATGTACTTTTGCCATAAAATGTTGCCGTTTTTTGCAGGCGGTCATAAATCAGTTTTATATTTTCACGTAAAGTCTGTATACGGAATGTATTTGCGAGTATTTATTTTGTATCTATACACTTTAGTAATAATATGTACCAAGTTTATTTTTAACTTCACATTCCGCTGCCGCATTGTTTGACATATACCTTGGGGATTCAATTGTTCTTTTTATAGGGCTGACATAAAAAAATGCTAAATAAGAAAAATTATTGTACTTACCTTTGTTGATCATTCACAGATTTTGAAAATTGTAACAGTTATTAATAACTCATCTGAAAATTATTTGTAGGTATTATCGAATACATGTTGAATAAATAATTAATAATGTGGACAATTTTATTAATTTTCCATAGATTTTCTTACAACAGTTTTTTTTATACAAAAGGATGAGAAGAACTTGCTTTATTTTTCTTTTCTAATCACATAAGCTAGATATTATAAAAAGAAAAATTAAAACAGTTTAACTTTGGTATATGCTACATATAAAACGATCGCAAATGACAAAGAAATACATAAAACTTTACGACCCTGTTTTCGTACAACTAAATTCAAGTGACAGATTGTCCCTTTACCGAATCTTAAGCCGGTTTATTTTCAAGGGTTCATATTAACATAGACGTATAGATACTGAACAGCTACAAAAATTGATTCTTGTTGTTCGCACGAGAGTAAAGATCAAAATCAAATAATGAACACGACGGATTTTTCCGAAAATTGATTTTATTTTTTATGCCTACCTATTGCCGCTACTTGAAAATTATTTATTTACACAAGTACTAAATGTGTTTAAAATTAATTTTGGGGAGCGTTAAAAAAATCAAAATGCATGAACATAAGAAATATTTACATTACAGGAAACATGAAATATTCACAAAAAGAATTGTGTATAAGTATATAGTGGAATTCATTTATTATGACTCCGCCTATATTAGCCAACAGTTTAATATGAAGTAACTGCAGTGTTAAGCTTGGTTTTCATATTAAATTCTCTACAGGGAAATTTGGATACAATGACTCCGTTTAAAATGACATATTGTTTATTATGACTGATTCTCAAGAAATCATATCCGGCTGTAATGACCCAAATGATTAATAATAACATTTTCGCTCATTTTTCTGACCTTTCTTATGTATATTGATAGATATTACAATTCATCGTTCTTTTTCTTTTTCTGTTAATAAATAGATACAATTTGTAGTTTTCTCTAACTAAATAACTAACCAAAATGGAAAGTTGTTTGTTTTCTAAGACTGTGCTTTGTATGACACCCGCTTAATTAAACGTGTTTGTCATTTCCCTTCGGTGTCATTATAAGCGGATTCTACTGTACTTAAAATTATATTGTTCTTTTATTATTTTATTTGCAATTAAAATGTATGTGAGACTACGATAATTGACGTCTGTGAAGTAAGAAAAATACAGAGTCAATTGCGCCTGGAATGTTTACTCGTTGTAACAATTTTCTATTCTCTTTTATCCTTTGCTACATATGTAACAGTTGTACCAGAGAAAAAGGAATGCTGCCTCCAACTAGTGAGAAAGTTTTCCAATCGTAAAAACCCAAATTACAAAGAATGCTCCTGTTCTTTTGTTGATTTGTTTACTTGACTAGGGTAGGTATTTATTTTTCTTTTCCTTTCTCCGATGGATTCAATCAAAATCCATTCTCACGTTCTGTTTTTTCAAGCTACTTTCAAGTTTCCATAGCATCCAATTAAAACGACATCATTATCATAAGGTCTTCACACGAAGATTGGTTGGACAAGCATCACCTCGATTTCTTCCTACAATGAAACAACCTTCGCATTTCTCAAACATCTCAAACTATTTGCGAACAGTAATCTAATCTAGGTTTACTTTAACTCCTGTCTGTAANTTTTGGCAAGAAAATGTTTAAAAAATTTGAAATTTTGTTAATTGTAATTTTCGACTCTTCCGACTCAAAAGGTTGCCGACCCCTGTTATAGGCGGATTGTACTGTACATGCGTGTATTTTTTGATTCATGATAATTTTGATCGTTTATTCTTAAGATGGCTAACAATGTTTAATATCAAAAAATGAACTTGGGAATGATTCGCCGATCTTATTATATCTATTTCTTGAAGCTATTCAGTAAATGTTCCTACCAAGTTTTAATTGACGGAGACTTAACTTTCAAATTCTTCGTCAAACGTTTGGGTTTCGGCAGTAACTGAGAAAGGGTTGCAGTCACTGTCTGATCCGTTAACTTGGACAGTTTCGCATCTCGCATTGACATATTGCCGGGGGACTCTCCTTTTGTACGGCTCCCACTCGGCCTCCGGCATATGTCAGTGAGTTACGATAACATCGGGTGCGGACTTGGTCGTTTGAACGCTGTACGGTCTTCGGTTGTCTTCAACTTCGATCTTCGCTTCTGCACGAAACTTGCTGTCTTTCTTATAGCCGAACGTGCTGAATGGGGCCGGCGGACTGGGTTTAGAATTGGAATTTAAGCTATGATTAGGTGTGCTATGCCCGGAACTGTATTCGTGCGGGAAAAATAGACTTTCCCTAGTTTGGCACGCGCTGTCGCACATTTCCGGTTGCGATCCGTTCTCGGTATCGTAGGTCCGAACCGTTTGAGTATTGTAGGTGTTTCCGTTAGGGGTGGCACTGCCCTCGTTTCGTAAGAGAATTGGCAGCAAGTCACCCCCGGGGACGTAGCAGTTTGTGTCCGGGACTATGGCGTTCACGGCAGCAAACCGTTGAGAGTCGAGGGACGTAGTAGATTGAGAGCGATGCTCCATCGAGAGCTTTTTGTCCAGAGAATCTTGTTTACCAAGTTCGTTCAATTGTTGTTCTCTGCTTTGTCGAATGTGCTCCTGTAACATGAAAATACTTCTAAATATTTACTTTTCAATAAAATGTGTCAAAGCGTTTAATAACTTAATTTGTTTTGTTCTTTGTACGACGCGTTAAATTTACTTGAAAAAGTTATTATATTGCTTGTTTTCGTAGACTGCCTTTACTACAGTATTTCTAATGCATAAATTAATTATCTGCTGTGTACGGGTTTTCGTAATAAGACATTTTCACGGATCGTGTAGTGCACCATCTAATGTTTAACTGTCTCTAGCTTTTACCACTGCGACGATATGACACGTTGGCGTCAGTGTTGTTCAATTTTTTTTTTGTTTTGATTAAATAAAAAAGTATTTAAGTGTTTACGTCTCACGAATTTGTTTAGATCAATAATAACAATCCAAACTGTAAAATATTTTTGAATGGTCCATATGTGACTACCATGTCCGCACATTCTGAATGTGAATACAAGTCAACTTATTTTTGTATTTTGTGAATCGAACGCTAACGAGGGCAGATTATTACAAATCGTTACGTATAATTGACTTGTCTACATATCAGCTGTTGCGAAGGTCACGAATAGGTATGTGTATTTCGTCAGTTGCGATATCGAGAGGCCATAAGATAACGCGCCTGCCAAAATGGCAACTGCTCTTAATCATTGACGGCTCGTTAACTGGGGTACTTTCTGTGCATACTTTTAACGTCCCCTACATCAGGTGTTACCTTTTTAATATTCCGGAATACTGATCAGACATTATGATAGTGTTAGTGTAGGTATAAATGGATTAAACCTAGTTTTAATACTAGCACACATATTTCCATATTCTTAATTGCATTTTTGAATTTTAATTATTTTCAAAGATTCTGCTAAATGTAATACCATTCTTTGCTGGCGAAATAGGGAATTTTGAAATTGCATTCTGCGTGGCTTAATGGAATAACTAACATTCATGACTTGTTACGTATTTTAAGTCTCGTTAAATAAAGAACGCCTCTACAGTCAGTGGCGGGGCAACAACTAAATTTGATGTGGGCAAGACAGATTTCGCGAGGCCCTGTTCTATGGCGACCTGAAGACGGGTTTTATAAAATAATAAAAACAAACAAAACAATTAACACTGCCAAGTTTTTATTCATAAAAATACAAATTAGATTAATAAGTATTAAATGAAAAATTACAAATCGTTAATATAAAGGTGGAGATATACATTTCTTAAAGTGTATCTTAAAAAACATTAGATTTCTTTATTAAAGGAACAGAAATTTCCTGCTTTTAACGTTACTAAATTCCTTAATTATGGTATCGTAATTCAGCCTAGATGCCAAATCTGATTCAATTGATAAAACAGCCAAAGCTGAAAGTCTTTCTTGGCTCATTGTGTTTCTCAAATAATTTTTTATTAATTTTAATTTTGAAAAACTTCTTTCAGCAGAGGCTGTACTTACCGGAATTGTTAATAAAATTCGGATGACAATGTAAATATTTGGGTAAATTTCTTTCAAGCTATTTTCTGTTATGTATGACAGCAGCTGTTTCACGTCTTTAATGAAGTTGGGTAAATTCGGGATCATTGTATTTAATTCTTCATATAATTCAAATGGTTGGAAGTCACTGCTCTCACCCACACGCAGGACGTTATGTAAATCGTTACAGTGTTTTAATATTTGCTCCTGTGGCATATTTTTTAGCGCGCTTAAATCATAGAGAAAACCAAAGTCTTCAAAATGTTGATTTAAAGACGTAAATCTTAATTCCATATTGGTTATTATAGAATCAATCATGGCGTAAAAAAAATCTGTTTGATACCGGATTTTGGGAGACTGTATAGGTTCATCGCTGCTTTCATAATCGAACATCCTTTTCTTTTTGGCTACTCTTTTATTCTTAAACTCTTTTGGCAGGTCATAACAGCTTTTCTCAGTAAATTTCCGAACATCAGACGTACAGTCATAAAAATAAACAATATTGAATAACACAATTATACGTTTCTATTGTTATGCGCCTAGCGACTGCGTTGCGTACTTTGATTTGATTGGTTGACTTCCTAGTAAAGAAAGTAAACAAATAAACCGGGGATTCCCCGCACTCTGGTCGGCGGCAAATGTTGCCAGACTAAGAAAACATGTTTCACAACAAAATTGATTTATATTTTTTTTGTTTTATTCTCGCTTTAAACATTTTTGAGTCGCGAGGCCCCTTGTACCGCGAGGCCGTAGGCGGTGGCCCACGTCGCCCACGCTTAACGCCGCCTCTGCCTACAGTCGAACGTTTGCGAATGAATTTACTATGTGATAACACGTTTCTCAAATGGTGAGCAGTGTAACTGGAATTTAGTGTGAACAGAAAAAGGAGGATAACTAAAATGCATTATTGCCTGTTTTTTTGTCTGACCAAGGATATCATAGCTGCTTACCATTTTCAATTTTCTTAATTTAAATGAATCGAGGATTAAAAAGCTTTAGTTGATGGGTAACAATTAGCCAACCACCTGACTAAAGCCGGTCAAAGTAATTACTTGTCGCGACAAATTGCGCAGAACCTGATAGTCTTTTAGTTAATTCGTTTCACGAAATCGCTTTGTAGACGAATAATTAACCCTCCAAGTGGTTATTTTATCGATCCGTCTCTCTTTCTCACACCATCACTTATTGTTTCGTTAGAGCAGTTCTTGTCTTTATTTTAAGGAGTACGTAATAATGAAGGATGAATAAAACTATCAATTAAAGCACAATGATGTACGAATTTACTAATGCGCCAATATTTAGGAATGCTTTCTACAATCTACGAATAAAACCTTTTGAAACATTAAATTGAAATTTAGCTTGTATATTACTAAAGTGATTGCTGTAAAATTGAATTATGAATTGATTAATATGAATTTTCGCTGTGCTGCTTCAATATTATTAAGAAACCAAGGAATGTGTGTACGTAGACTCAACTGGTTATTGGAAAATATTTGTCCAGTGAAGTTGAGTAAATACATTTAAGTATAATAGCGTGCATTACTCCAGCGAGCACGAATGTTCTGAGTCTTGGCATGATTTCGACGATCATAGCGACTTCTCTGTGGTCAATCTGGTTCCATTACTTAACAAGCATCACCTTCAGCTCCTTGACAGATTCTGGAGTCCAATCTCGGTTCCTACCATGACGACCTAAGCAATGTTCAATCGGATTCAGGTTAGAATGTTTTGTTGGCCACCTTAATCGATTGATGTCCACCTCATTCCAATATCCAGCATCGACATATGGTTGAGCGTTATTAGGCATTAACACGAAATTATCTCCGACGAATGAGATAAACACAGATAAACATACCTATCAGTCATCATTGTGCCGTAGTCTAAGTTAAGTTATAAATTAAAATGTTAGTCCACATCATAACTCCACTTTCAAAGTAATCCCCGCCAAATATTGTACACTTGTGCCAACGTTTTTTTCAATCCTCAGTGCACTTCAAAAATCATTTTTTTGTGATCTTGTTCAACTCCTCCTTCGATGCCGTCTTTATCTCCTCAATCGTAGAGTAGCGTCGTCCTTTCATGGGCCTCTTCAGTTTCGGGAATAAAGAAAGTCACAGGGAGCCAGATCTGGGGAATATGGTGGCTACGGCATTATAGCGTGTTGTTTTTGGCCAAATTCGCGCACAAGCAATGATATGTGAGCAGGGACAATATGATGGTGTAAAAGACAATTTTTGTTCTTCTACAAATCCCGGCGTTTCTGGCGGATTGATTCGCGCAAATTGCACCCAACGTGCAGGTAATATTCCTTATTGACCGTTCTATCTGTGGCATCAAGAACTCATGATGCACCGCGCCCCTGCAATGAAGAAAACTGCAAGCAAGTTAGATCCTTAGCAACTTCCCTAACGGTGATTCGACGATTGGCCAAAACTATTTTCTTCACTTCATCAATGTTTTCGTCTGTTGTTGATGTGCTGGAAGGTCTGGCACGCCCATCGTCGTTCACATCTTCTCGATCATTTGAGAACATCTTGTACCACCGATAAACGTTGCTTCGGTCCAAGGTAGCCATTTGCCACAGTCAAAATTCGGAATGCGTCCGCACACTTAATTTTCTTTTTTACACAAAGTTTGATACAAATTCTTTGATCCATTTTTTGGAATAGGCAAAAATCGAAGCCAAGACAAGTGCAAACAAAGCAGCTGTCAAAAATTAACTGAATATTCAGCATGGCCAAACTTGTCGGTACAAGTAAGATTATTCACAAAAGTGTTAATTAAAGAATAATTAGTTAAATAAATTAATAAGAGTGCTAAAGGTATTTCATTACGGGTTAATATTATATCAACTTTATTGGCACTGCCTATGGCGTGCTGATGACGACAAATAAGATCCACGTGTGGTAGCTTCAAAATATTACCTATTGTCTCAGAACTTAATGTTCTTTAGGAACTAATTTAGACTTCGAATTAAAAAAATGGAATTCNACATACCTATCAGTCATCATTGTGCCGTAGTCTAAGTTAAGTTATAAATTAAAATGTTAGTCCACATCATAACTCCACTTTCAAAGTAATCCCCGCCAAATATTGTACACTTGTGCCAACGTTTTTTTCAATCCTCAGTGCACTTCAAAAATCATTTTTTTGTGATCTTGATCAACTCCTCCTTCGATACCGTCTTTATCGCCTCAATCGTAGAGTATTAGCGTCATTCTTTCATGGGCCTCTTCATTTTCGGGAACAAGAAAAAGTCACAGGGAGCCAGATTTGGGGAATATGGTGGCTACGGCATTATAGCGTGTTGTTTTTGGCCAAATTCGCGCACAAGCAATGATATGTGAGCAAGGACGTTATTATGGTGTAAAAGATAATTTTTGTTCTTCTACAAATCCCGGCGTTTCCGGCGGATTGATTCGCGCAAATTGCACCTAACGTGCAGGTAATATTCCTTATTGACCGTTCTATCTGTGGCATCATGATGCACCGCGCCCCTGCAATGAAGAAAACTGCAAGCAAGTTAGATCCTTAGCAACTTCCCTAACGGTGA